TTCAGCATGAAAATGACAGCACACTCTGTTAAGTTTTGTTAGCTATTATTTCAGAATATCTAATGATGCACACTTAGCCTCTGGGCCAATGAAGCTGACTGAGCCTCTGGAGCCGCCTTATCTTTCTGGCAGGTATGTGTGTAGAGACATTTCAAACAGACTCAATAATGGATGTCATTCGCATGCTTTGAATTCTGACTTCAACCCCCCTCTGGCAGATGGGGAACAAGGTTGAGATCAGCCTATTGGCCGCAGAAAATTTTCTAGGAAACATATGAACTGAGAGGTGAATACAGAAAATGGAGTGTTCTGCTAGTTTACCTCCTGAGTAGCCTTCTGGATAAACTCTCTAGTTTTCATCTTCAAAGCTTTCTTATGTTAATTAAAAAGACAGAGTGAGGCCTGCATTGATATTGTAGCACCATGGGTGAAGATACAACCTGCAATACCAACATCTTGTGCGTGTACAAGTTCAAGACTCAGCCTGGGAAAAGCAGTGGAAGATGGTCCATGTAGTTGGGCCCCTTTCCTCAGGCAGAGATCTGGACGATGAAGCTCTTGACTCCTGGCTTAGTCCTGGTCCAGCCCCAGCCACTGTCAGCTAGAACCAGCAGATGGAAGACCTCCATCTCGCCCCTCTCCAAATGTCATTCACACAAATCTTTAATAAACTTAACATATGTACAGCATAATAAAAATAAAAGCTGTTTGAGTTCAGTTATGTATGTTTACCTTTACATAAAGGTCTACAAAAATTATGTTTCATTAGCTTTAAAAGTTTCACACGACATTGAAGAATTATCTCAAAAGATATTGGGATATGCTAGTTTGTGCCAATATTTCAAAGAGAATGGATGAACTCAGAATTTGTCCACACGATCATTTAATTTTTGAAGCATGCATGGCTTGTGGCAGATTAAACACTGGGGTATTTGTCATGTGGAAGATACAAATGACCAAAATGCAGCATGGACTCACACATACCTCACTAGGCGGGACACAGATTAGTCACTCCTCACTAAGGTATTGAAGATTTCTCTGCACACCCCTCCTAAAACTGTTCTGCACCTCAACTGTTGACATATGCCTTGTTAGAGTTATAAGCCAGCTTGGACTATCCTAAAATTCACCAAGTTCAGTAAAAATTATGCTTCAATACTATAAACTGCTAAATCTAAAAATGAAAATAGACATGAGACAGCTGAATAGTACCCTATAGCCATTTTAAGGTGTATGGCAGCCGGTTGTGTATAAACTAAAATTGAAATGTCAATGAAGTAGTCACAGGATGTGGTTAAGAACTTGCATTTTCTAAAATATTGGTCACTCAATACCATGTCAATTAATAATGTTGTAAGTTGTTATGTTGTGGCTTTTCATTGGACGGGATGATATTCTGCCAGCTCTGCTTTCAGACCAGCAATGGTCTCCAAGAAACTGTTGAATTTATCTGGACAATAAGATGCTGGAACTCTATGCATGGTACATGCTAGCAATGAAGGAATCATCATTGGATTTGAACTGTAATACAGCAACAATGTGGAGGAATCCACCATGGGGAGAAGTCATGGGGAGGGATTAGGGGAATTCCAGAGCCTATGAAACTGTCATAAAATGAAATTAAAAAAAAAAAAAGTAGAATTAGGGCCTAGTGTGGTAGCCCAGTGGACTAAGTCCTTGCCTTACACACGCCAGAATCCATGTGTGTGCCAGTCTGTATCGCTGCAGCCCTTCTTCCAGCCTGGGAAAGCAGTAGAGGATGGTCCAAAGCCTTGGGACCTTGCCACCCATATGGAAGACAGAGAAAAAACTCCTGGCTCCTGGCTTCAGATTAGCTTAGCTCCGGCCATTGCAGCCACTTGGGGAGTGAATCAGCGGATGGATCTCTCCCTCTCCTCCCGTCAATCTCATTTTCCAATAAATTTTTTAAAAAGTAAAATAAATGACTGACGGATATATGCAATCTACACACACACAGACAAACACCTGAAGATTTGACAGTCACCTAGATCACCTTCCTCAGAAGATTCTCCTTAAACTGTCCTGTCCTAAGCACTGGGCAGAATCCATGGGACAGAAAACCAGGCATGTCCTCATGGACTAACAAAGAATTGAGCTGTATATATAAAGTTCCTTAGACATGTGGTTCAAGCCAGATACTTGCTGGGTATAAAGCAGACCAAAAACCAAGAAAACTTAAAGCTCACATACAAAGTTCAGATAACAATGAATAACTGCTTTATCTCACGTGTGGAAGTTAAAAATAGTTGATCAGAACAGCAACCGTGATTACCAGAGACTGGGGAGAAAGAGTAGGTGGAGAGAGGAAGATAAAGAGGACCAGAACAGCTTTGGATAAAACAACACCTGGTATGCATTATCAATTATGTGAACAGGAAGAGAGAAACACCTCAAAAGATACATGAAAATGCTGACTGCATGACTTTAGTTTACACTGCACACTTGTGTTAGAATATTGCATGGCGCTCAGTGAAAAGGTACAATTACAAGTTAATTGTATCCCCTCAGGAAAAAAAAAAAAAAACACTGAATATTTACTGTGCTGGAAGGGACGAATAGGGGAGAATATGGATGAATATGGATGAATTCACATGACATCAAGGGCTTTCAAATTGTATTTTTTTAAATCACCATCCATTCTCTACTTTTTAGCAACCAAGAGGTAGAGTGACCACTCTAAGCTGAGAAGCCAACATAGGCTAAGGCTTAGAGAATTCTCTTCCTGGATGCTGGGAGTTGTGGCTGGTTAAGATGCCTGTAATGCCAGCCACCCCTATGAGTGTTAGTCCTTGTGCCAGCTGTTTCATTTCCTAAGTCCAGCTTCCTATTAATGCGCATAGGAAATCAGTGGGAAACCCAAATAATTGAGTCTCTGCCACTCATACAGAACACCAAGAAGAAACGCCTAGCTTCACCCTAGCCCAACTCAAATTGTTGCAGCTATCCAGGGAATAAAGATATAGATTTAATATTTCTCCCACTCTCTCCTTTCCTCTTTCATTCATTCTCTACCCCTGTCATCACACCTTAACCTGTAACTCAAACCAAAATATGCCCTTAAAAAAACTTTCAAAGCTAAACATCAGTAAGCCACCCCCTTCTCATGTCCCAACACTATTTGTAACCTCTTTCAACTTTGTTCTATTGGTAGAAATGCACATTAACTTTGTCCTCCATTCCTGGAGAAGTTAAGTTTTGTTCGAAGAAACGCTCCCATCTCATTCATCTTCAACCACAAATACCTTCTGGACATCAGCAATCATTTCGTTAAAGATTGTTCCTGGATTCACTCAAATTTTCAGGAACAGTAAATGCTTTAAGGATCATCTAAGCTTCCCTCACTTTATACTGTTGTAGCTGGTATTATAAAACTGAGGGTCATTATGAAAGTACCACAAACTGGCTTTGTATCCCATCAGAAAGCTAGATAAACAAAGTTTCAGAATTGATTCACTTGTTTGGATAGTTAGTTGTTCCTGATTTATCTTTATAATTCTTAGATCCATACAAGCAAAAGAGCAGGACTAAGCAGAGACTGAATAGGATGAATCAAGAGCAAGAAAAAAACTCAACATTTTTTTCCCTTTAGGACATTTTTTCTCTTAAATTGCACAAACAAGGTAAAATTTGATTTTTTCCTGTGGGTATATCACATACTAGTTAATGTCAAATCTATACATGTATACATTCTTCCTTATTTCAAGGTCCAAAAAAAAAAAAAATCAAGAAATTAAGCAGGAACCACTAGTAATTATAGGTCATATTGACAAGCCACCATCCGCAAGGTTGGAGTCCTATATCAGAGTCAATTCAAGTCCTGGCTGTGACAACCTATCTGACTTCCTGCTAACAAGCCTGGGAAAACAACACAAGTAGCCTCTGCCACCCAAGTGGGTGACGTGGATGGAGTTCCTGATTCTTGGCTTCGGGTTGGACCAGCCTTAACTGTTGTAGACATTGAGAGAGAAGATGTGTGCTCTTTTTTAAATGAAACAAATAAACTTTTAAAAACATGTCAATTATTCAAGCCCCAATACCATTTCCATCATGTTATCACACAGTGAATGTAGCAATTACAAATTGTACAATCAGAATCCGATACTACCATGTTCTATAAATTCTAACATTTGGGGCAAGAGGTTTTTTCAATCACTTGACTCATTTCTCAGATTTCCCTCTTTGTTTTAATCAGAATGACAGAATTAGAGAAAGAGAAAGACTTTCCATGCATTGGTTCACTCCTCCAGTGGTTACAATGGTTGGAACTGGATCAGTGCAAAGCCAGGGGTGAGGAGCTTCTGTAAGAGCTTAGAATAACCGCTTGATTTTGCTTCTGTATATTGCTTTCTGCTGAGCAAGAGTAGAGCCATGTTGGAATAAATATAGAAAAGCTATTTCATGAAGGAAGTAAAAGTTTCAGTTTCCCAGACATGAACAAGGCAGCTGCAGGAATAAAAGAGATAAGGTAGCAAGGCCGGAGCAGGCAGCTGCAGAAAAAGGAAGTGCAAGCCGGCAGCAGCTGCAGGAATAAAAGAGATTCTAATCTTAAAGTAAAATGCCAGCTGTTATGCGAAGTTTGCGGTTTTGTCCTTTAAAAAGGTGCTTTAACCTGCTTGGGGCGCGCAGAGTCCTGGATGCCTCCAGAGACTCTGTTGCCCATTCGCGAATGTTCAATAAAATCCTCATGCTTATTGCAGGCTCTGCGTTTGACTTGTTTTGCCAATGACGGTGTGACTCCCCTCCACGGGGTTGGACTCTCCCTGAGTCTAACATTTTGGTGCATTGGCCGGGAATGGAGCGACCGTCTTCAGCAAACAACTCTCGCAGAGGGAGGTAAGACCGATCGGAAAGTGTGTTTTTTGTTTTTGTGTTGTTCTGTACTGTCCTTGTTCCCCCCCCCAGTCTTTGAACGGTACCGGTTTGATCTTGTACGCCGGGGGACGCTCCGGTGCCTTGCAGACGGGGTGAAGATCATGTCACCCTCGTCTGGCCTTGTACGGTCGACCTTCTTGTATTTTGTATCGGGCCCTTAGGAAATCTTGCATCGCGCGAATCCTGTTTGTGTCATTTGTTTTGTAATTATTGTGTGTGGTCTTTTGTCTTTAATTATGGAACAGACTGTGACGATTCCCCTTAGTTTGACTCTTGACCATTGGACTGAAGATAAGGACAGGACTCACGACCTCTCCCTCCCGGTTAAGAAAAGATCTTGACAGACTTTCTGCTCTGCAGAAGGGCCCCGTTTTCAACCTGGGCTGGCCGAAAGGAGGCTCTTATCATCCAAACAGTTTAAAGGATTGTTTTTCCAACAGGTCCAAAAGGCCACCCTGATCAGCAGCCTTATCCTGGTTTGAAATCTGTCTCAGAATCCCCCCATGGATCCGTCCCTGGTTTTCCCTTTGCCCGGCACAGGTACCAGCTGCGGCTGCCCAGAGGTCAGCAGATTGACCCAAGAAGACTTTGATAGGATCCTCCTCCTGTTTCATTCTCTCTGAGGGACTGGCTGTGGGAGTAGACAGGCCGGGAACCCCAGGCCTCCCTGTGCCCTCCTCGCCTCTGCCCTCCCAGCCAGCCCCATGCAAATCCCCACAGGCAGGCTCCTGCTCCCAGCACGCCTAGAGTCTACAGATAACTTTTGTAACAAGCCAGATGATATTTAATGTGCTGTGTAAAAACTCTTGTTCATAGTATTTATAGTATTAATGACCTCTTGTAAGTTTCCTGGGGGCCACCCAGTAAAAGATTTAGTTTGTTCTGAGAGGGTCTACAACTGGTGATGCCGAAAGTGTCTTGCCTGCAGCCCTTGGGTCCTGGCTGCTGGTTCCTGTGTGTTTAGACCAAGCTTAGTCTGCATTGCTTTGCTATAAACCTGTCCTGCAGTGTGAAGAGTGGCTGGAGTTTAGGGCTGTAGAGACAAAACCATCGGGGCATCCCGACCAGTTACCGTATATCTTGGTATGGGAGGACCTCGTGGTTAATCCCCCGCCGTGGGCTCAACCTTTTCTCATCGCACCCTGTCCTCCTCCTCCTTCTCCAGAATTGCCGGCGCCTTCAGCTCCGCCCCAACCCCAACCCTCTGCTCTTGTTTCCCTCTGTCCGCTGGAAGCTACTCGTCCTCGACCTAAGCCTGTCCTGCCTGATGATAGTCAGATGGACCTATTAATGACCTCTGAACTTCCTCCACCTTATCCCCAGGAGCATCAACCTGAAAGAGAACCCCCAAGAGGAAGACCGGGGGAGATGGGCTCTCCAGACACCACTGTAAATGAACAGCCTGAAGCCAGATCCCCAATCCATACCAGGTTGCGGCTACGCAGGGCTCAATTGGAGGAGGGAGAAAGAGGAGAAGGGCAATGGTCTTCACAATTGTACCCCTTGAGAATTGTAGGGGGGCAGGTCCAGTATTGGCCTTTCTCTGCCTCTGATTTGTATAATTGGAAAACTCATAACCCTCCTTTCTCCCAAGACCCCCAAGCATTAACAGGTCTCATCGAGTCCATCTTATTGACGCACCAGCCGACTTGGGATGATTGTCAGCAGCTGTTACGGACTCTACTGACCACAGAAGAAGTCCAACGGGTGCTGATGGAGGCCAGAAAGAATGTCCTTCGGGCTGATGGGCAGCCCACCCAACTTCCAAACGAAATTGATGAAGTGTTCCCCCTTGTCCGACCTAATTGGGACTTCAACACTCCAAATGGTAGGGAGCGTCTCCGTCTTTATCGCCAGACTCTGTTGGCAGGTCTCAAGGGTGCCGGAAGGCGACCCACTAATTTGGCTAAGGTAAGAGCAGTTCTACAGGGAGCTGGGGAGACTCCCGCGGGATTCTTAGAAAGACTAATGGAAGCATACCGCATGTATACACCGTTTGATCCGGCAAGTAAAGATAGGCAGGGGGAAGTGATTATGGCTTTCATAGGACAGTCGGCACCAGACATTCGAAATAAGTTACAAAGACTAGAAGGATTGCAGAATTATAGCTTGCAGGACTTAGTAAAAGAGGCAGATAAAATTTTCAATAAGAGAGAGAAGAGAGACTAAGAAAGATGCAGGAAGAAAGAGAGGATAAGAGAGATAAACGACGGAATAAAGAACTGAGCCGTATCTTGGCCACTGTAGTTCATAACAAGCAAATAACATCCCAGGGAACTGAGATAGGGAGACAGTTTAAGGAACAGGGAGGTGAGCGGCGAAACCGTTTAGGGAAAGATCAATGTGCTTACTATAAAGAAAACGGCCATTGGGCAAAGGATTGTCCCAACAATCCTAGAAACAAGAAAAGGCAGACCTCAGTTTTGACTTTAGAAGACTAGGCCAGTCGGGGCCAGGAGCCTCCCCCTGAGCCCAGGCTAACTCTGTCTGTGGGAGGCAAGCCCACCACGTTTCTAGTAGACACCGGGGCTCAACATTCAGTTTTGACAACTACTGATGGACCTATGAGCCAGAAGACCTCGTGAGTACAGGGAGCCACAGGAGGACGCGCGTACCGGTGGACGACTGATCGGCAGGTCGACTTAGCTACAGGTACTGTCACTCACTCCTTTTTACATGTGCCTGATTGTCCCTACCCCCTATTGGGACGAGATCTTCTGACAAAACTGGGAATTCTCATTCCTTGCCGGTCACCGTGGAACACTCCTCTCCTACCAGTGCAGAAGCCGGGGACAAATGACTATAGGCCCGTCCAAGACCTAAGAGAAATAAATAGTCATGTAGAAGACATACATCCCACTGTGCCAAATCCTTATAACCTTCTCAGCTCCTTGCCTCCCTCCCATGTGTGGTATAGTGTCCTGGATTTAAAGGATGCTTTCTTTTGTTTAAGACTGAGCCCGGCGAGCCAACCTTTATTCCTTTATTTGCTTTTAAATGGAGAGATCCGGAACATGGAGTAAGTGGACAACTGACTTGGACTCGATTGCCACAAGGCTTCAAAAATTCCCCCACCATCTTTGATGAGGCCCTACATCAGGACTTGGTGGCATTCAGATTAAATAACCCCAATCTGACTCTCCTCCAATATGTAAATGATCTCTTGCTGCCAGCACCTACCAGAGAGGCCTGCCTAGAAGGGACAAGGGCCCTGTTACATGAATTGGGAGCCCTAGGATATCGGGCATCTGCCAAGAAAGCCCAGATATGCAGAGAGGAGGTAACCTACCTAGGATATGTCATAAAGGGAGAAAAAAGATGGTTAACTGAAGCCAGGAAAGCTGCGGTGGCGTCTATACCAGTCCCAAAGAACTCCCGACAGGTACGTGAGTTTCTGGGAACGGCAGGATTCTGCCGGCTGTGGATACCTGGGTTTGCGGAGCTGGCCGCTCCCTTGTACATGTTAACGAAGGAAAAAAAAACTCCTTCATCTGGGGAAAGAACAACAACGGGCTTTTGATTGCATTAAAGAGGCCCTCCTAACGGCACCGGCCCTGGGACTGCCTGATGTCACAAAACCATTCACACTGTATGTGGATGAGGCCAAAGGAATTGCAAAAGGAGTATTGACTCAGTCCCTAGGCCCTTGGAGACGACCGGTTGCCTACCTTTCAAAGAAACTAGATCCAGTGGCCTCAGGGTGGTCCCCTTGCCTGCACATGGTAGCAGCTATTGCGACCCTGCTCAGGGACGCAAACAAACTAACCCTGGGACAGAAAGTCACAATAATAGCTCCACATGCTGTGGAGTCGGTTGTCCGCCAACCGCCAGACAGGTGGCTTTCAAACGCCTGCATGACTCACTACCAGGCTTTGCTCTTAGCTCCTGAACGCATTACTTTTGGACCAGTTGCTACGCTCAATCCCGCTTCCCTATTGCCGGAGCCGGGAACGGCCAAGGATGTCCCCCATGACTGCTCCCAGATTCTGGCCGAAGTTCATGGGACTCGTGAAGATCTAACTGACCAGCCTCTACCAGATGCGGAGGTAACCTGGTTCACAGATGGCAGCAGCTATGTCACCGAAGGAACTCGGCGGGCAGGAGCAGCAGTGGTGAGTAACAATGACTCCATAGTCTGGGCCAGTGCCCTAGAGCCAGGGACGTCGGCCCAGCGAGCTGAACTAATAGCCCTCACAAAGGCTCTAGAACTGGCGGCGGGAAAAGTAGCAAACATCTATACTGACAGTAGGTATGCTTTTGCTACGGCCCATGTGCACGGTGAAATTTATCGCAGAAGGGGCCTCTTAACTTCAGGAGGACGAGAAATAAAGAACAAGCAAGAAATAATAAACCTCTTGAGGGCACTATTCCTTCCAAAAAGACTGAGCATTATTCATTGTCCGGGCCACCAAAAATGAACAGATCCAGTAGCTAGAGGAAATAGACTGGCAGACCAGACTGCAAAAACTGTTGCCACTGAGCCAATCTCAGCCCTACCCCTGGAAATAAACTCAAAAATGGGACCCGAAGAGACCAGGCAAAACACAGATGACAGAGCTCTCATTAAAGAACTCGAAGGGGAGTGGGATGCTAAGTGCAAAGCATGGAGAAAAGGAGACAAGGTCATCCTGCCCTATCGCATAGCTACTGAAATCATTGAACACCTCCACCGCCTCACTCATTTGAGCCGGAGAAAAAATGCACGCTCTACTTGCAAATGAGAAATGCCCATTTATAACTCCTGACCTGCAGTTTCTTACTCAAATTACAGTGGACCAATGCAAGCCTTGTGCCCAGGTAAACGCAGGGCGACTAAAACTTCCCCAAGGAGCCCGTGCCCGAGGACACCGACCGGGAATACAATGGGAAATAGACTTTACTAAAGTAAAACTGGGACTATATGATTATAAATATCTCTTAGTTTTTATAGACACCTTTTCAGGCTGGGTAGAAGCCTACCCCACGAAGAATGAAACGGCCACGACAGTCGTTAAAAAACTCCTTGAAGAAATTTTTCCCCGGTACGGATTGCCGCAAGTATTAGGGTCAGATAACGGTCCCGCTTTCGCCTCCCAGGTAAGTCAGGGGGTGGCCAAGAGTTTGGGGATTCATTGGAAACTACATTGTGCTTATCGACCCCAGAGTTCAGGCCAGGTAGAAAGAATGAATAGAACTCTAAAAGAGACCTTGACTAAATTAGCCCTAGAGACTGGCGGAAAAGACTGGATACGGCTCCTCCCTATGGCCCTTTTTCGAGTGCGCAACACTCCTGCATACCATGGGCTGACTCCCTTTGAAATATTATATGGGAGCCCACCACCGGCATCCTCTTTCTGTGATTTTGATCCTACCATGTTCCCCCATCCACCCTCGTTACAGGCGTATCTCCAGGCTCTCAGAGCAGTGAGAGAGTACATCTGGAAACCGCTTGCAGAGGCCTACAAGGACAAAGACATTCCACCGTGCCCTCACCCGTTGAAGGAAGGAGACCAGGTGTATATCCGGAGACACCAGGCAAAAACCTTAGAACCACGGTGGAAAGGACCCTTTACTGTCCTACTGACTACTCCAACCGCCCTGAAAGTCGACGGAATTGCCGCCTGGGTACATGCCTCCCACGTGAAACACGCCAAGGATCAGCCAGCAACAGGGACTACAGGGACTGACCAGGAACCAGAATGGAAACTTCAACGAACCCCAAATCCTCTAAAGATAAGACTGACTCGTGCTTAAAAATGTACTTTTTGACTTTGCTATCTCTTCCATGTTCATTGTCAGATTATAACCCACATACCCCCCATAAAATTACCTGGAAAATCAGTAGTTTGGAAATAAGAACAGTCATAAATAGCACTCAAGTCATTGGACCGGTTGATGTTACCTTTCCCAAGTTATATTTTGATCTATGTGACCTAGTTGGAGGAGCATGGGAGACTCCCGGTCTCCCTTATTCAGGAACTAGTAGTCGGAACGCGTATGGCTGTGAGAATGTACTGGGACGGTTACACACCAGAGCCAGACCCTTTTACGTTTGTCCGGGGAGTGACCGTAGCAAAGCCAAAATCAAGCAGTGTAGGGGGGCCGAAGAAGGATACTGTGCTAGTTGGGGTTGTGAAACTACCGGGACAGTGTATTGGCTCACTGAATCAACTGACCTCATCTCAGTCAAGAGGGAAAATATTCCAGGGTATTCAGGGACAGGGCCCTGGATTTGCGGCCAGGGTCACTGGAAACAAAACTGCGGACCATGCTTTGATAGTGTGACTAGAAGAACGGGGAGCACCCCAGGTGGCAGATGCAATCTTTTAGTTATTTCTTTCACCTCGGCCGGAGAAAAAGCTGACTGGACTAAGACGAGAGTATGGGGATTGCGGCTCTACAGAGAAGGGTGGGACGCATTTACTCTGTTCACTATCTCCCGCCAAATAGAGCCCTTAGCCACCCAGTCTATTGGCCCAAATCATGTCCTGCCTGCCTTCCGCGGGCCGTCAGGACAACAGCCTCAACATCCTATAAGGCCATTTTTCAACCACACAGTAGCTCCACAAACTAGCACGCCGGCCTCCCCCACTATAGTGCCGAAAAGCACGGGAGAAAGACTCATAAATCTAGTTAAAGGAGCCTTTCTAGCCCTTAACTCTTCAGATCCCGAAAGAGCCAGGGACTGCTGGCTATGCCTCAACCCCAGTCCACCTTATTATGAAGGAATAGCCACAATAGCAAACTTAACAAACTCCAGTAGCCCATCTCCAGTCTGCAGCACCATGGGGCACGAACTGACACTTACTGATGTCAGTGGGACAGGTCTATGTATAGGAAAAAATTCAATAAAATCTAGACTATGTAACCAGAGTTTAAATGTCCCCATAGGAAATTATTATCTGACACCACCTAATGGAATCTATTGGGCATGCAACACTGGTCTGACCCCTTGTATCTCGGCACAGGTTCTTAACGTCACCAAAGACTTCTGTGTGCTTGTTCAATTGTGGCCAAGAATAACGTACCTTCCGTCTGAGACTGTTCTAGCTGCCTATGAACATCCAGGGAGGGCCAAGCGAGAGCCTGTCTCTATTACTCTAGCCGTGTTACTAGGTACAGGAGGAATAGCCGCTGGCATAGCCACCGGAGCAACTGCTCTGTCGAGAACAGACTATTACCAAGGACTACACCAGGCTATGAATGAAGACCTACAGGCCTTAGAACAGTCAGTCAGAGGACTAAAAGAGTCTCTTACCTCTCTGTCTGAAGTAGTGTTGCAAAACAGGAGAGGACTAGATTTGCTATTGTTAAAAGAAGGAGGATTGTGTGCCGCCTTAAAGGAAGAGTGTTGTTTCTATGCTGACCAAACTGGAAGTGTGACTGAGACTTTAGATCGACTCAGAGACAGATTAAATAAAAGACAGAAAGAATTGTCAGCCCAAAAAGGATGGTTTGAAAACATGTTCTCTCAATCACCCTGGCTAACCACTCTCATCTCTGCTATAACAGGACATTTAATATTGTTATTACTCCTTTTAACTATAGGAACTTGCATTATTAATCGTTTATTACAGTTCATAAAAGAAAGATTGTCAATAATTCAAGCCTTTGTATTAACCAGCCAATATCAGCCTGTACAAGAAAATGCCTGCTAATGCTTATATTTTAAGATAAAAATATGTCCTAAAAGAAAAGGGGGGAATGTAAGAGCTTAGAATAACCGCTTGATTTTGCTTCTGTATATTGCTTTCTGCTGAGCAAGAGTAGAGCCATGTTGGAATAAATATAGAAAAGCTATTTCATGAAGGAAGTAAAAGTTTCAGTTTCCCAGACATGAACAAGGCAGCTGCAGGAATAAAAGAGATAAGGTAGCAAGGCCGGAGCAGGCAGCTGCAGGAAAAAAGAGATAAGGTAGCAAGGCCGGAGCAGGCAGCTGCAGGAATAAAAGAGATTCTAATCTTAAAGTAAAATGCCAGCTGTTATGCGAAGTTTGCGGTTTTGTCCTTTAAAAAGGTGCTTTAACCTGCTTGGGGCGCGCAGAGTCCTGGATGCCTCCAGAGACTCTGTTGCCCATTCGCAAATGTTCAATAAAATCCTCATGCTTATTGCAGGCTCTGCGTTTGACTTGTTTTGCCAATGACGGTGTGACTCCCCTCCACGGGGTTGGACTCTCCCTGAGTCTAACACTTCCTCTAGGTCTCCAACACGGTGCAGGGATCCGAGGACCTGTACCATCCTCTGCTTTCCCAGAACATTAGTAGGCAGCTGAATTTGAGGTGGAGCAGCCAGAACTCCAGTCGGTGCCTATATAGGACACTGGCACCACAGGCAAGAGGCTTAGCTAAGTTACCGTACAGGTCCCACCCAAATCTGTTACCCCTCTAAAAACTGCCTAAATCAGAGGAATAGAATCAAGCTTGGGACATCATTTGACTCAGTGCAACTTCTAGTTTTTAATATGTCCCATTTTGTGAATCTAGACACTTCACTATTAAACTATTTTATCTGAATGCTTTTGGCCATCAAACAGCACTTTGGGTTCTCTGTCTCTTTGGAAATTTGAGTGGATGATTCGGAAACAATTTTATGTGGCTGCTGATAGAGGTAACTGTGTGTAGGCCTCAGCAGAAACAATTAAACAGTGTTCATCCAGGCATTCTCCCACAAGTATGTTTACGCAGACTCAGCTCTTGAGAACAGATTTCTCGTAATTTGCACTTATCTTCACTTAGCCTCATCGGGAGACCAGGAGTCTCCATCTCAACTGCCTGCCAGAGCAAGGTTGGTAACAGAGTTGGACCAGCAAAGGTGCAAGAAAAGGAAGTGGTCAACTGCAGAGTACATATGATATCTGAGTATCTGAAAATACTGAAATGAGTTCAAAATGAAAAACAAGGCAAGACAATTAAGCAATACCACAGGACACTGGCCATGAACTCTCAGGGAAAAAAAAAAAAATCAAGATTAACCAACTCAGTATTGTAGCATTAACCAGAAGTATCTTCACTAGTTGCTCATTAAGTATTTGTTGAATTAACTTCAGAGGAAGAGTTTGAGATTTAAACGTACTGACATCTGGTGGTGGGGCCAGGCATTGTCTACAGCTACAGTTAAAAGCCAAGGTCCCCTGTTCAGAGTCCACGCTTGCCAAGTGCTTCCATGCTGTAAGTGCTTCACATATGGGATCTCCTTTAATGTGCACAAAGGCTCTGAGAGTTAAGTACCATCATCTCTCCATTTCAATTTGATGAAACATGGTCCTTAGAGAAGATGTTCAAGGACATAAGGAGAAGTGAGATTTGACAAGGAATTGCAGCCCTAAGCTTTAGTTTTTAGGGAAGAAAGTCTTCCTCCCAATCTGCATCTGCTTTGTATCACATTAGAAATATGCTTCCTAAACAATCATTAAGTTTCTGTGGAATAATTCAAACAAATATGTTTCTCTGGTTCTAGATAAAATTTTGTTTTCCCAATGGTCTTCTCTAGAAAATCCTATCTGAACTCCTCCTCTACCGTGGTTCTGAGCCCTTTCTTGGGTTTAATTCCTCCTAAAATAGAGCAAGCACACAAATGTGTGCCTTATGCCCTTGAGATGACAGAACCTCCTGCTGGCCTGGGTCCTTACACTGCTGTTCAAAACGCCAGTCTAATTGCCCTATCCCCAGTTTTTATATTTCCTTGCCCTCAGGGAGTAACACCCACCAAGAATGAAATGCTCAGAAAAAGCTGGTGCTGTCCCTAACTGGTCCTGCATTTTTGTGGAATTCTTCCACTCTTAGGAATACCTCAAGATCCCAAACTGTTAAAACCCTGTCTGCTTAAATCTGGGCCTCTGCCAAATAGTCACTCTGTCTATGCCCAGTCAAGTGCCCACCCATTTGGAATTTCTCTCATCGTTTCAATTTGGCTATTGGTTCGCTCCCCATCTCTGACTGCACCTCTTTCAATAATTGGTGTTCCATTTTTCTGTTCCACTTTCCTAACACTTCCCAAGTTGGAAATGAGGGATAGCCACAGCCAACAGGCAAGGCAGACAATGGCTAGAGTCTTGCATGATTGTGCAATTTCCCTTCCAGGTTAAAATGCAAGTGTTTGTCCTCCAAACAGCCCTTCCCTGATAAGAACCTGCACAGCACAGCCAAGATCCCTTCCCTCGGGTTTGTTTCCTATCACTCTATTAATAGGAGTGCTATTTCTGTTCTGCAGCTCACATCTCCTTTGTGGACTTTCCCAGTCACAATGACCCTTTCTTTATTTCGTTCTTCCACTTATGAGGTTGTCATACTCAATGTTCTCACCTGCCACTTAATCAACAGCAAATGGTCATAGGTGATTTAACAAGTTTTTTTTTGTTTTTTTTTTTTTTTTTTTTGCTTTAGACTCCCCTGAAACAAACCATCAAATTTCCATTTGAAGATTTTCCCATGTGGGTCATCCACCACTTGTTCCCAGGTCCATCTTTCCCAGAAGGACTAAGCAGAAAAAGCCACAACCTTGCCATGGCTACATATGGGCTTCAAAGGTAACATATGCATACACTGAAAGTGAAGGGTTGGACGAAAATATATAAATGAAAACCAAAATCAAGCAGGAGCATATACACATTTATCAGGCAAACTTTGAGACAGAAGGACATCATATGTTGATAAGAGGATCAATTCAGCATGAAGATTTTGGACACAAATATACATATATCAAATGTTAAACTAAAGATAAAGACAAATTACACAATAGTTGGGGGATTCCAACTGCCTGTCACCAATAGACATGAATCTATTTTCCGTCAAGATGACAAAGTTGAGCTGTAACTATTGATCAAATGAACCTGACAT